CGAACCGTGGTCGACTACATGGGAGTCCAGCGACATAGCCATTACGCTAACTGCTGGTCCAATTAACCTGGCAACTTCTGACCCTATTTTTTTTTTTTAAGTTTTTTTCTTCCATGAGCAAAAAAGAGAGAGAGAGAGACAGCACCCCTAACAGAATCTTAATACCACGATCTACTTCCAGCCTTCAGCCAGCCCCAGGTCATGGGCAGGCGTGTGCCTAGCATACTCAGGAGGTCTCTGGACTGGAACCTTCCCTCACAGAGATCCTGTTTTATTTCTGCACCACTGTCTGGTCCTCATAACCCAATTTTAAAGGCTCATTCTGTCCTTTTTGAGGCCTGAGTCAGAGGACTTGTAATCCTAATTATTGCTAGAACCTGTATTTAGAGCAAGTTGCCCATCATACCATAGCCAGGGAAGCTTGGGAATCACTTTCCCTTTGCCTGTGACCTGGAGTGAGATATGAGCATAAATGATGTGCATGGGAAGGTGCCACACTCTGACCACTCTCCTCCCCGCTCCTCCCTCCAGAGCGATGTCATCCGCAGACCTCAGGGTCAAGTGGATCTGAACTCCAGCTGCCACATTGTTCGAGGGGAGGGGGCACAGACGTTCCAGGTGAGCATGCTTCTAGGAGCTAGTGCTTTAGACAGAGGGGTGCTGGTTGGATGTGGCTATGATTGAGATAAAGATGGGACAAAATGAGCATGAGCAAGACTTCACATCAAGGAGGATGCGATCCTAGTTTGTGAGTACAAAAATGGAAGAGGAGGCAGAATGTAAGAGATGGAGTGAAGGAAGGAAAGGCAGGGAGAAAAGGATGAAGAGGAAAAGAAGGGAGGGAGCAATAGAGCAGGAAGAAGGCAGGCCGAGAGGGCTCAGGAGTTCGTGACCCCTCAGAGCCAGGTCCGGTTACTCCATTCTCCTATCTTGCTGCCTCTGTTCCAACCCCTCCGCTACCACAGCTCATCTCTGAGAAGAAAACCTACTACCTGACTGCTGATTCACCCAGCCTGCTGGAGGAGTGGATCCGAGTACTACAGAGCCTGCTGAAGGTGCAGGCCACTGGGCCTTCTGCCCTGCCTCCGGGTGGCACCAAGCCGACTGTGAAAGGCTGGCTGACCAAGGTAAAGTGTGGGGCTCAGGACAGGAATGTGGGCCGCCTGAGAGAGAGACAAGGGAGCCAGGAGTGGCAATCCCGAAAGGTGTGATGGGTTCCCTCCTTATACACAGGTTCTTTCTCCAGGAACGTCCTCGTACTCATTAGCTGTCAACTCTTAACATGACCTGGCTACACAAGGTGATGGTGAATGATTCCCTAGAAACAGAGATTGGGGTGGTTAGACCAGCAACTATTCCTGGGGCTGGCAGAGGTATGGTGGTTAAGGGCACTGGACTCCTATGTGGCCGAACGCAGTTCGACTGCAGTTCAACTGCGGTTCGTGGGGCAGGCGGCATAATGATTAAGGGCGCTTCTTCTCACACACAGTCGAGTGCGTTCCGAGTCCCAGACCTAGCTGCTTGCTTTCTCACTTTCCTTCTCTCTCTCTCTCTCTCTCTCTCTCTCTCTCTGTCCCTCTCTGGTCAAATTAAAATAAAATAAAGTTAAATAAAATAATTGTTAAAAAAAATAGCAACTGTCCTCAAGATAGAGGGAAAAGACAGTATTCTACCTATTTTGAGATCATTAGGTGTCACCCCCTATCCCTACATTGTACCTACTATGCCTCAGTATAGTGAGACAAACAGACCTAGGTGGGGTAGTCAGGGACGTAGTATCCTAAGGCTGCCCTAAAGACATTTTAGTTGGGAGACCAGCAGGTGGTGTGGTGGTTAAGGGCTTGACTCACTCATGGCCGACCATGGTTTAAGTCCTGGACCTGGTGGCTTACTTTCTCACGTTCCTTCCCTCTCTCTCAGTCTCTGGTCAAATTAAGAAATACTAATAATAGCGGTGCCAGCAGTTAGCGTAATGGCTTTGTTGCTGAACTCCCATGTAGTCAACCGTGGTTCAAATCCCGGACCCGGTGGCTTAAACTCGCGCTGGGTGTGTGTGTGTGCATGCCCAAGATCCTGAGAGGAGAATGGAGGAGAAGGGATTGTGGCATGGCCATCCCCCCGGGGGGTGATTTCTCACTTTCTGTCTCTCTGTCTCTCTATTTCTGGTGAGCGCACACACCCTATAGCAAAAACCTCTCAAAAAAAAAAAGAAAAGAAAAGAAAAGAAAAGAAAAGAAATACTCATAATAGACACTGGCAGGTGGCATAGTAGTTAAGGGCGCTAGACTCCCATATGGCCAACCGTGACTCAAGTCCTGAACCTGGTGGATTGCTTTCTCACTTTCCATCTCTCTCGCTTTTTCTCGCTTTGTCCCTCTCTGGTCAAATTAAACAAATAGGATTGAATAAAATAATTCTTAAAAAAAAAAAAAGACATACTAATAATAAATAAATAAAAGAATTCCTTTTTTTAAAAAATAAAGAATTTTAGTTGGACTTTTCTGGTTGCAAAGAAGAGAGAGGCACTTTTTAACCCCAAGAGAAGGGATGTTATCAAGGAAGCACATTAACTACATCAGAGCACCATCAGGAACCAAAACACCTGTGCTCAGCAAGCTCCGTGTTCACAGGCTCTGCCGCTGCTTCCCCATTCAGTTTGTGTTTATGTTCTTCCCTGCCTGTGTGCGTTTTCTGTTCCTTCATGATTTATGGATTTTGAAGAGTTTCGACCTGTTGTGGCCCTTAACTCCCTCATGGCATCCTAATAACTAGCAAGTTCCTCCCATGTTTTTATTCTTGGAAGAGACATCTGATTCGCCTGGCTAATCTTTTTTTTTTTTTTTAACAGAGTCTATTATGATTCTCCTGCCTCCGTGTCCCTGCTGGGACTATGGACACATGCCACCATGCCTGGCTTTTTTAGACAAGGTCCTCCTGCGTTGCCAGGCTAGCCTAAAGCTTGTGAGGAGGCTGAGGCAGGAGGATCACAGGCACCTGCCATTGTGCTAGACCTAGTAGGGCTGGGAATTGAACCTGGGCCTCCTTTGTGATCTCAGCCTGCAGAGCAGTGTCTTAGCAGCACATGTTACCATGGCTAGGATGGACATGACCTTGTTAATATTTTTTTAATAAAATATGACAGTTTTATTTATCTATCTGCTTATCTGTCTATTTATTTATTTATTTTAGAGTTTTTTTTAGAGTTTTTTTTCCTTAGGGTACATGCACTCACCAGGGAGGAGAGAGAGAGAAAGTGAGAAATCAGTCCCCCCGGGGTGGGGGGATGGCCACACAGCAGTCCCTCTTAGGCACACACATGATTTTCAAGCCACCAGGTCCAGGACTTGAACCATGGTTGGCCACTTGGGAGTCCAGTGATGTAACTGCTACACCATCTGCTGGTCCCCTTTGTTAATAGATTTTTTTTTTTTCTGAGAGGTTTTTGATATAGGGCGCGTGCGCTCACTAGACAGACAGAGACAGAGAGACAGAGAGCAAGAAATCACCCCCCAGGAGGATGGCCACACTGCAATCCTTTCTCCTCCATTCTTCTCTCAGGATCTTGGGAATGCAGGCACACGCACCTGGTGTGAGTTTAAGCCACCAGCTCCAGGACTTGAACTGCGATTGACTACATGGGAGTCCAGCGACATAGCCATTATGCCAACTGCTAGTCCTGCCCCTTGTTAATATTTTAATGTCAGGTCTTAGGTCACCAAGTAGCCTAAGGTTGGTGGGGATGTCACATGACACACAGCATGCCACCTTCACTGTGAAACGTGTGGTTCCATCAGTGGGGAGTCTGGGTAGCTTCTCTACCAAGGGCCTGAGTTTGACTAGGTCAAACCTGTCTCCCTGTGGCTTCTCTTTGCCAGTCCTGGATGTATTTCCAGGGTCACTTGGTCCCAATAATGCTGGTTTATTTGTCAAACAGGTAAAGCATGGCCATTCTAAGCTGGTGTGGTGTGCTCTTGTTGGGAAGACCTTCTACTACTATCGGAGCCATGAGGACAAGGTACTTTCTCTGCCTCCCGGTTGCACCACCCTCCCCCAAACCACATTGCTGTGGTTCCATGTACTGATAGAAGTCCCCAGCTGTAGACTCTATACCACCTAACCTCACATAGACAAAAGCCAGTGGGCCAGATCCCTCCAGAGTGCATGGCCGATGTGCATGCCCAGCACATTCTGCCAGTATGGCCTGTGAGTGCTTCTCCAAGCAAGCTTCGTTCTGCTCCCAGCCTAGCTGGGGTGCTGCACTCTTCACCTCCCCAACCCATCTTCCATCCATATCCATTAATCCCAGCCCTACAGAAACTAAGGATTAAGAGAGGAGTCCCTTGTCCCCGCTGGCTCTCCCATTCATGGAAAGTTCGTGTCCACAGCGACCCCTTGGCCGTCTGCCTGTGCGGAATGCACGCATCGAGGAAGTAGATCGGTCTTGTGATTCAGACGAGGACTATGAGGCTGGAGGAACTGGACGGTTGCTTTCCTCCCACTGCACACTGGTGATCCATCCCCCAGAGCATAGCCCCACCTACCTCCTCATTGGCACCAAGCGTGAAAAGGTAAGGGAGGGGGCTGGGCATTTACTGCCATGCCAAGACCTGGGCTTCTTAATCTCCCTTCTCTTTCCCCTGAGCTTCCCAAAATTCAAGTTTATTTCTCTCCTGGGCACTTTGGCAACTAATATTCTCTGAATAGAAATTTCCTTTGTATTGAGTTCACTCCTAATAACCAGCATCTCTTCACTGGGGTCATAAACGGGAACTGCAAATTTAGAAACTTGGGTTTTGTGTTCACTCAATCCTGAACCTTCCTGTTAGAGACTGACTCCCACCATGGACTTGGTCCCTTCAAGGAACTCTCCTTGGAGCTCTGGAGACTGGAGGGCTCTGCCTCTAGTCTTCTCACCCGTCCTTATCTGATGGTTTTTCACCCTCTTTCAGGATACATGGCTCTACCACCTCACAGTGGCTGCAGGTGGCAGCAGTGCCAAGGTGGGCACTGCCTATGAGCAACTCATTGGAAAACTGATGGATGGCGAGGGAGACCCAGGTAAGGCAAAGGTGGCCATCAGTACGTGGGCTGCAGGGTGGTGGCTGGGTGACAGTTACCCAAGACCCCAAAGAAAGCACTGGTGTTCCCCGAAGCTTTTTAAAATGTGTAAGCCACAGAAGGGAGTTCCCACCCCAAGCTCCAGGGCCCTTCTATCTCTGGCCAGTATACTGAAATGACCACTCTATATCCTGCGAGAGCTCATCTGGGAAGCTGACTTCCCAGCTACATGGGTAAATATTTTACTTTGTTCTACCAGCAGCTTTGCTGGTTGGGCAGAGGGTTGACGAAGGAATGCAGCAGAATGTAGCTGGTTAATCCATAGTTAAGAGTTTGTTAATAAATGAAGCCTAAATTGGGATCAGGCTAACCTAAGTTTAAGCTGTTCAGGGGTCTTTATTTTGATAGGTAGACCCAGGTAAGGCAAGGGTAGCCATAACTGTTGGGTTGAAGGGTAGTGGCTGAGTGATCGTGGGTCAGTAAGAAAATACTATAGTATTCTGACACTGTTTTAGGAACAGTTCAAAACCCTGGGAACTAACCAACCACAAATACCCCTTTACTACTGCTCTGAGACTTATTTCAGGCTAGTATGTTCACTCCTCCATCCAGACCTGACACTTAAGGAAGAGACCCCCCTGCACACATATGCTTGCACTCACACACCCACAACCATGCACTCACTGCTTGCACAGAGCAGTGGCTGCCTTCTTGTACAGCTGTGCTTGTGAGTGTGCCATTGCAATGCACACCTGTGTACCCTACCTACTCTAGGTATTCAGCTACTGTACGGGTGACAAACCCAGCACAACCCCTGTACCCCGTTAAACCATTGCCTTCCCACAAATCACAGTTGAGAGTGGGTGGGAGGTGAGTTCCCTCCTTGGTGGTGACCGCTGCTGCTCCCCGGTGCTGTGCTTTGGGCAGATTCCCCCCTCTGGAGGCACCCGATGCTGTGCTACACCAAAGACGGGCTGTACAGCTCCCTCACCACACTGCCCTCCGAGGCTCTGCAGACGGAGGCCCTCAAGCTTTTCAAGGTAAAGTGGGGACATGCCCAAGAAGGATCCAGATAGGAAGGCAAAGAGATTCTTACAGGGTGCCCACCCCTCCTTTTAAGGCAGGAATGTGATCCTCTCACTGGGTGGGAGGCAGCCCTGGGGAAATGCCAGGTCTCCCTTAAGGAGCTCCCTCCTTCCTGTAGTTACCAGCAGGGAAAGTCAGGTTTATTTTGCTCCTGGATCTGAAAGATTTATACTTATTTTAGAATGTTCTTTGTGCCCATCTGAATTTTCTATCTTTAAAAAAAAAAAAACAAAAAAAAACGAACATGCCATGCTTGTGTATCTGTCCTTTAAAGGCAGAAAGATTTTTTTTAAGAATTATTTTATTTATTTATTTATTTATTTTCACTTGAGTTTTGCCAGAGAAAGACAAAGAAAGAGAGATTGAGAACGCAACCCTCCAGGTCTGGGACTCTAACCGCAGTCAGCCATTTGGAAATCCAGCGCCTTAACCACCATACCACTTGCTGGCCCGGAAGGAAAGATTTTTATACCAAAGTTTCCTTTCTTAGTAAGCTTTGCTGTACTCAAGCAGTCGCAGGGCTCCTTACAAAGTGCTGTGATTGGCCAGCCAGTTGCATGGTGAGTAAGGCAGCTAGATTCCACATAACTGACTGCATGGCTCAAGTGCTGGACCTGGAGGCTTGGAAAAAAACAAACAACAACAGAACACTAGGTGTATGTGCTTACATGCCCAAAATTCCAAAAGAAGAAATGGAGAAGGGATTGTGACATGACCATCCCCCATGGGGGTTGCTTTCTCACTTTCTCTCTCCCCCTTCTACCTGGTAAGTGCAGGTGCCCTCTAGCAAATTTTGAAAAAGAAAGTGCTACTTGTTTGTTCACTTACCCAATTGGAGTTGGAGACACCATTCTGCTGTCAGGATAATAATCACGGGCTGTCGGCCTGCCTGTGCCCCTGTCATTTCCCTCCCAGTCCTGCCAGCTCTTCATCAATGTGCCTGTGGAGGCTGCCTCAGTGGACTACCATGTGTCCCTGGCCCAGACGGCACTTCAGGTCTGCCTGGTTCACCCTGAGCTGCAGAGCGAGATCTACTGTCAACTCATGAAGCAGACTACCTGCCGCCCGCCTCAGAAGTACTCCCTCATGCAGGTGGGCACTCCCAGGGCAGAACAGCTGGCAGGAGCCATTGGGAGGGCTGCCAGGAGGTGGGAAAGGTGAGAGAGGGAACTGACAGGTATGCTCTGAGCGTGGCCTGTGGGCAGCCTCTGCTCCTCAGTATGGCTGCCCTGTCTGTTGCACAGTTGTATGGTCCATTCTGGACAAAGCCTCACCAGGTTAGCCATCCTGGTAGTACAGAAGGTTGGAGTCCCTGGTTTGGGGGAGTGCTGCAGACTCTAGCTCAGGACTGTGAGGACGGTGGTGCTGCAAACCCAGCATTTACCCCATGCTGCATGTCCCCTGGCAGTGCTGGCAGCTCCTGGCTCTGTGTGCCCCACTGTTTCTTCCTCAGCATCACTTCCTCTGGTATGTCAAACAGCAGCTCCGGCGCCATGCAGATCCCAGGTGAGCGAATGCCATTCCTCTGCCACTCTAGCACTATGGACTAGGGCTCGGTTGAGAGAGATGAGGGGGGTCTAGGACAGATCGATCACCCCTTCCCCTGTGATCACTCAGTGGTCACGGAGATTTCCATCACTGTATACACCAATGGACATGTGGCGATTTGGATATGCCCAGGCTTCTCCACACACCAGCCCACATGCTTATGGATGCTTTGCGGGGTCTCTCATGTGAACCCCCAAATGTTCATTCTGTTGCTGCATTTCTCTGCTTTTGGTAAAGATCCATGCCACCAACCTGCCGCATAAAGAACCTGAATGAAAGATTAACCCCTCCAGGCCAGGGCTTTCCTCACAACCTGCCCCAGCTTTAGTTTGCGTCCTAGCTAAGTCTCAGTAGGGACTAGGGTGCCAGGTAGCAGGGATGAACAGGCCCCTATCTTTTTAGAAATGAAACCGGCCAGTATGCCACCTACTGCCAGCGGGCAGTGGAGCGGACCCTGCAGACCGGGGAACGGGAAGCCAGGCCGTCCCGCATGGAGGTGGTGTGCATCTTGCTGCGTAATCCCTTCCACCACTCTCTTCCCTTCAGCATCCCTGTGCACTTTGCCAACGGTACTTACCAGGTGAGGAGGCTTCTCCTATCACTGCCCCAGGGGAGGACACCTTTGGGCCAGGTGGGTGCTAAGCCATGTTAGGCCTGGCAGATTCATAATCAAAAACAGCCAAAAGGATAGGCCTAGGATCTGGGGGTGGTGGGACAGGGGTGGTTAGTGCCAGTGCATAGGAAGAAAAGAATATGAGTCACAAAAGTCCTGAAAGATTTTTGAATCCACTGAATGAACAGAGAAGCTAACTGACCAAGGAAGTAGCATGAAAAGAGCCTGCAAAGATGAGTAGTAGAGACTCATCTGGTGTCTGATTGTAGTTACCATAGGCAGGTCTCTGTGCTCTGGTGGCCCTTGGCCTATGAAAACGAAAAGGATCTTGCTCTGGCCTCTTGCATTCTTCCCCCCTGCTGTACTCAAAGTCCTCCACCAGCCCTAGTGAGCTCACGGCACACCTCTACCCCCAGGTGGTTGGTTTTGATGGCTCCTCCACAGTCGATGAGTTTCTCCAGCGGCTGAACCAGGAGACAGGCATGAGAAAGCCTTCCCACTCTGGCTTTGCACTCTTCACGGACGATCCTTCTGGCAGGGACCTGGAACACTGCCTGCAGGGGAGCGTCAAGGTGATAGCCTCCCCTCTAAGCCAATAGCCCCTCCTGAGTCACCTGCCAGCTTGGGGATAGTGGGGGTGGGGAAAGAGCCCATCTGGTAGGTGCCTGGCTGTTCAGGAGCCCCTTTCAATGCTGATCCCAGGTGCTCTGCCAGGTCAGCATTTCTGGGCTATCCTAAGATATCCTAAGATGTACCTGTGCAGGCAGAAAAAAGCTGTGATGTGCCTTTCTCTCTGGAGACAAGACTTGCACACTCCTATCTCCCTCAAGTGACTGCAACATCCAAGGGAAGCCTGTTCTCAACTCAGTGTAGGGGCACAGGGAGGTCCCTGAGCCTGCCACCCTCACAGGTAGACAGCTATATGCCTGGACCCGCAGGGCACTGTGTGGTACACCAGCACCTTGCCTTTACCGTGTCTGCCAGGGCCAATGCCATACGTATAGGTTCAACCACATTTTAAGAAAGTAGGTCCTTATGGTGCCTCTGTAAGTAAAGATCCTTGAATGGGACTTGAGATCAATTTTGTACTGTGGTCTGAACTTAGTGCTGTGGAGATGGTTAAGTGTCTGTGGGACGGGAACCCTTGGTGTGAGTATTGTGTCTACTTTAAGGCAACAGGACAAAGGTTTCTATAGCCTTTTACTCACTGCCTGGCAAAACTATGCCGCATATCTGTTTAGTAATTGTCTGGGCATCTGTAAGGCTTTGTTACATGGAAGGCCTTTGGGTGTATTTGTTGAAAAGAACAGTGGTTGCTAGAATGGAAATGGAGTCAAGGTTTTTTACTGGGGTCTGCCTAGCCTCTGAAGGACCCCTTGGTGGTTAAGGCTGGTGAGGGCTGTGTTCCTTGCTTTGGTGCTCTCTATGCCGAGAGCTCCTTCCACCCATCTTTCTACTGCTGAGAAGTTGCAGGCACCTCAGAAGTATGAGGCCCTGCAGATCAGCTCTTGATGGGAAGACATCATTTAATCTGCTCTGTTCTGCTCTGCCCCAGTCAGTCCTGGGTGGATCTTGTTTTCCTCAGAAGGGGCTTTCCTGACCTTCTTTTCCCTCTTCAAGATCTGTGATGCCATCTCCAAGTGGGAACAAGCCCTGAAGGAGCTGCACCCTAGAAAATCTGAGGGAGGCACACGCGTCGTGAAGCTGATGTACAAGAACAGGTCCTGAGCACTGCCTGAGGGTGGGGCCCACCAGTTCATCCCCTCCCCAACTAGCTGGCCTGTCTCAGATGAGCAGAGTGGCTGCATAGAGAACATAGAACACCACATGGCAGTCTTTAGCTGGGGCAGGCTGACTGCCCCTGATTCTCTGTGTAACCCTCAACAGCTCAAGTTGCTATCCACCTTCCCTGCACCGTGTCTGTGTGTATGAATGCATGTGCACGTGCACGCATGCATGCACACACCCACACACACAGACTTGCCAAGGAAACAGATCAACCTCATAGAATGGCTACATGTGTTAAATTATGAGAGTCCAATTTTATATTGTTAGCAGGTATTTAAGGTTAAAGTAGTACCTACATTGATTTCAGGAAATGCAGAACTAGACAGAAAAGGGGCTAGCAGGTGGCATGGTGGTTAAGGCCAATCGTGGTTCAAGTCCTAGATCTGGTGGCTTGAAAACTTCACTGGGTGCATATGCATGCATGCCCAAAATTTCAAGAGGAGAATGGAAATGGGACTGTGGCACAGTCATCCCCCATGGGGTGGGGTGGGGTGATTTCTCACCTTTTCTTGTCTCTCTCCAGCAAGTTCATGCACCCTATGGCAAAAATAAAAAAATAAACAAACAAACAAAAAAACAGAAAGTTAAAAAGACAGGAAATATAGAAATAGACATCTTGGATTTCCTAGCAATTTAAATAAGAAAATTCTTTCCCAGTATATCTGCAGGCAAACAATTTCTATTAATCTCTTGTGGTCTTAACTCATCCAATTCCCTACTAAACTGATTCCAGGTGTTGATCCCTCAACATAGTATAGTAAATCTAAACAGCGTGTTCAGATGACCCGCATGCTACAGCTGGTCTAAGATCTGCATGACACAATAGCTGCTCTGTGTCATCTTTGGCTATGTGTTTCTGGAGGCAACAAAAAACAGGCTCACAAATTGTATAGGCTGTTATTTGGGAAGTGAAGATACACAGGTCCAAAGAAGCCTCATCCTGGTTTAGGATCCGAGCTGAGTTCTGGCCTTTCACCCCTCCCTAGGCTGTACTTTCGAAGTCAAGTCAAAGGCGAGACAGAACGAGAACGATTGCTGCTTGCCTCCCAAACTAGTGGAGAGATAGTGGCAGGGAGGTTTCCTGTCAACAAGGAACTGGCTCTTGAGATGGCTGCCCTGATGGCCCAGGTAAGGTCCTGTCTGGAAAGCAGAAGGTAGAATGTCTCACACAGCCTGAAATGGGAGATCCTGATCCTGTGGTACCCGGGATCAGGTGGCCTTGCTGCCTCTGGTGTGGAGAGCACCTAATCAGTAACTCCCTCACTGCAGAGACACAGGCTACCTGCAGAACTTGGCCACTTTCCCACTGCGAGATCTCAGCCAAGTCACTCTTACCTGTCCATACTTTAGTTTCCATCTCTGTAAATTAAAAAGAATCATAGTTCCCAGTCTGCCCCACAGGGTTGTGCTACCATATGATACTTGGGGGATGTGTACCACCCAAGAGATACATATAGGATAAAATGTGTAAGTCATCAAATATTATCAATAGAATTAGGAAGAGAGGGGCCGGCAGGTGGCATGGTTAGACTCTGGACTCCTACGTGGCCGGCCTCAGTTCGAGTCCCAGACCTGGCGGCTTACTTTCTCACATTCCCTTTCTTTCTCACTCTGTTCCTCCTTGGTCAAATTAAAAAATGAATAAATAAATGGACTTAAATAAAAATTCTTTTAAAAAAATTAGGAAGAAAAACCCATATTCAGTCCTTCGTGTTTCCTGTAGGAGACAGTCTTGCCACAGGTATCTGAAATACTTTCCTAGTTTCTCTAAGAGTCTAGATCTACATGCTGGAAAGGAAGGGGAAGTAATAATGGTTGATCCTTTATAAGCATCAGTGTGACTACTCTGTATCAGGTTCTGTGCTGAGCATATTATATGTATTGTTCCATGTAGTTCTCATCCTCACTTACTAGAGGAGGAGACTGTAATTTAGAAAATTTAAGAAACTTGATCCAGGACACAAGTCAGTAAATGGCAGAGCTGGCCTTTCAGCCTGTCTGACTCCTATGATCATGTCTAGAACCCTCTGCTGTACTCTACAATCTGTAGCATCTTCAATCCTGTCTCCCTTATTCCTTGACTGGAAGCCAGAATTTCTACATGGTTTTTCCCTTGGCCACCACTAAAGATCTGTGTCTTTGGATAAGACCTCAGCCGTAAGAAGAAACTGAGTTTAGAAAACCCCTAGGATTCTAGGACCCTAAGGTTGTTTGTCTATGAAACTTGAGCTGAGACATCTGTTCACAAGTGTTTTTCATGTCCATTCATACTCCCCCCATAAGGTAATAATTATGGTTTATCCCACTTCCCTAACAGTACCCACCTGGCCTCATCACCTCCAGTTGCTTGACTGGTTTCATGTGCTTCCACCACAGGTGGAATACGGGGACTTGGAGAAGCCCATCCTGCCAGGCCCTGGGAGCGCACCCCCTGCCAAAGCTCAGCATCTCCTCCAGCAGGTTCTAGACAAGTTCTACCCAAGGCGCTACAGACATGGGGCTCCCCCAGAACAGCTGAAGTGAGTAGGCCACAAGGTTTTGCAGGAAGTCACTGTGGGAGACCCTGACAGCTGCAATGAAAACATGTTGGTACTTCAGTGACACCCTTTTCTCCACTGCCCAACCCAGGCTCCTGACAGATATGCTGACCACAAAGTGGGCAGCACTGCAAGGCTGTTCTCCTTCTGAGTGCATCCGCATCTACCTAACCGTGGCCCGGAAATGGCCCTTCTTCGGAGCTAAGCTTTTTGTTGCTCAGGTAGGTGGAAGGAGCAGAGCAGTCCACACCTTGAGGAATGCCTTATATTTCTCCTTGGAGCTGTCACCCCATATGGTCACATTTGAGTAGGTTCAGTCTGCAGCTCACACTAGTAACCACCAGGGGTTGCTATCTCTCCACCCATTTCTACTGCAGGTTTTCATGGTCCAGAGCCGAGGTGGAATTTACTGCTTATGTTCAACTTTCCTTTATTGACTTCTCAATGCTATCCCTAAAAAAAAAGATAGAATTAACTAATTTACACAGAAGAGATTCAGGGCTAGCTGAAGCTGAGGGGTGGATTGCTGTGTCAAGACCCTATTAGGGTGCTGTCTCTTGCTCACGGAAACAATAAATGAACTTGGGGCCAGCTGGTGGTGTGGTGGTTGAGGGTGCATGGCTGCCTGTGGTTCAGGTCCTGCACCTGGCAGCTTGCTTTCTCACTTTCCCTTTCTCTCTCTGTCTCTCACTGGTCACAGTAGTCAAGCAGGCTGAAAACCCAGCTCTACCATATACTGGCTTTGTGTCCCTGACCAAGTTTCTTAAACTCTCTGAGTTTAAGAAGCAAGATACACCTCAGCTACAAGAGTGTGGGTGGAATATTATGTTTCCAGGAATTAGGAGAAAACAGCCTGTTCCCTATGTCCCTAACAGAACCCAGGGCTGGCCTCTCTTCTGCAGCACAGAGCTTTCCATCTGGTTTATTGTGCAGGATGGGTTCTAAGTACACCAAGACAGTGATCCCCTTCACCCTTGTGATGGTTAGCAGGCGGCCAGAGCCCCAAGGCTAGATGCCTCCTGCCACAGCCAGCCTTCCCTGATACTGTGTGTGCTGTCAGCTACCATCCTCTATGCTGTCCAGGATGAGGTGTTGGAAATCACTTCCTGGCAGATCCCTGGATGTGCCTTTTTCCTCAGAAAATTCCAGTTCACAATCTCTAACTGTGGCATGTTGTTTCCGCAGCCTGCCCAGCTGTCTTCCAAGGAGAGCACACTGGTGTGGATTGCTGTGAATGAGGACGGTGTCAGCATCCTAGACCACACCACCATGGTATGAAAAGATGAGGCCAATTCCTCAACCCCTCCTCCTAAACATTGCCTCTTGATGTCCTTTGGACTCAAAGGCCTGAATATGTAACCATGATTCCCTCACCCCTGCTCCCCGCCCAAGCACTGCTGTCTCTAGTCTAGATACAGCTTAGAGACATTCAAGACAGATCTCCAAATCGTGACCACTTTGGAGCTCTTCCTTCTTGGCTAAGACTACCTGTACATAGAAGTGACAGGGGATGCTGTTTGCTAGCTCAGGGACAGATGGAAAGTTTCCCCAGAACTAACTGGCTCCTTTCCACAGCAAGTGCAAGTCACTTATCCCTACTCTTCAGTGATGACCTTTGGTGGCTGCAGGGATGACTTCATGCTTGTGATTAGATCCCATCCAGACCAGGGCTCTGGAAAAGGCCACATTGAGAAGTTGATCTTCCGGATGGCTGCTCCTAAGGTAGGTCTGATAGCACTAAAGCATTTTATTCTGATCTGTTATGATGTGGTGGGCTTGGAGCTTAGAGAGGACATAGGTTATGACCTTAAAGGGCCCTGACCCAATGAGAGGGAGGGCTTCAAAAAGTTTATGGAGGGAACCAGCAGTTAGCGTAATGGCTGTCGCTGGACTCCCACGTAGTCAACCGTGGTTCGTGTCCTGGACCCGGTGGCTTAAAACTCACGCTGGGTGCATGTGCGTGCGTGCCCAAAATCCTGAGAGGAGAATGGAGGAGAAGGGATTGCGGCGTGACCATCCCCTCTGGGGGGTGATTTCTCGCTTTCTGTCTGTGTGTCTCTGTCTGTCTGGCGAGCGCACGTGCCCTATAGTGAAAAAAATCTCTCCAAAAAAAAGTTTATGGAAAATGTGGGAGCAAGAGAGAAAGAGAGTGAGAAAGCAAGCTGCCAGGTCTGGAACTCAAACCGTGGTTGCCCATGTGAGAGTCCAGTGCCCTTAACCACCACGCCACCTGCCAGCCCCTTCCCACAACCTTTTTGAAGTCCCCTCATACACTGTGTGGGACCTTGTCTCTAATCAGTACTCCCACAGGGTTCAGGTGGAGTTGCACCTCCGTCATTGTTAAGCTAGTAGGTAGAGGGGCTAGTTGGGAACTAATTCTGGCCTAGCAGCTACTATAGTCTTCACTTAATCTTTTTTAATTCCCTCAAGGCCTAGCATTATGTAGGACTGAGTTGAGTGCCCACTTGCCCTTCTCTTCCTTGCAGCAGTCCCAGGGCAAAGAACCATCTTTTAAGACCCTCTCACCTTATCCCTGGGTTCTGCTGTCCCAAACACTAGCACAAAGTAGGACAAATGCTCCCTATTCTAACCCCAGTATAAGATATGTTAACCAACAAGGGTAATAATTACAAAGGCTCAGAAACCTAAGTTCTGATTATTGTTCTAAGCCTCCTTCTGAAGGTATACTTAGGTACCATTTTACCTCATGAAAAAATATGTATGTATCTTGGGCCAGCAGGGGGTGCGGAGGTTAAGGCAGCTAGACCCACATGGCTAATTCTACAGTTTGAGTCCTGCACCCAGCGGCTTGAAAAATCACACTGGGCGTGTGTGTGGGTGTGCCAAAAATCCTGAGAGGAGAATGGAGAAAAAGGGATCATGGTGTAGTCATCCCCCTGAGGGGGAGGTGATTTCTCCGTCAAGCACATGCACTTTATAGCAAAAACTAATATATATACACACACATATATACACACACACATCACACACATACACACACACATACACATATAATATATATATATATATATATATATATATATAAAATACACGTGTGTGTGTGTGTATGTGTATATATATGTATATATATATACACACTCTTGTTCACATTTAATCCTAAAGCTGGCGTTTGCCAAACCTCCTCCTTTTAATACCACCTTGCCCGGGCCAGCAGGTGGCATGGTGGTTAAGGCACTGGACTCTCACATTGCCAACTTTGGTTTGAGTCCCAGACCTCACTTTCTCACTTTCCCTTTCTTATTCTCTCTGGTGAGTGCAAGTCTTAAAAAAATAATAATAAATAAAATTAAATAATTCTTTAATACCACCTTGTCAAAGAGGACATTACAGACCCCTTTCCTGAAAAGGTCCCTTTCCTGGCCATGGCAATAACCAGAGCAGAATGTTGGTCCTCCTTCCTTGGGAGGGTTCTATGCATCCCAAAGGATCCTCAAACCAACAGGTACCCATTACCCTGGGCCTCTGAACCTCTCAGTTATGGTCCCTTTTGGACATTTTCTCCTAGGTGGGTATTTTAAGAGAAAAAACTGGAGCCCAGGAAGGTTATGTGCCTTATGTAACAGCTAGTAACTGAGAAAGGTTAAGATTCAAGCCAAGGCTAGTTCAATTCCTTTGCTTCTCTGACCTCTCCTTAGATTGCAGAAGCTACCTTCATCATGGCTAGCTACATGAACCATTGCTCTGGAACTGTGAACAGCTCCACCAGCCTGGCTGCAGCCCACCACCCATGGGAACTGGATGGACGACAGTTCTTTGCTTCTGTTCCCTGTGCTACCAAGGGGCCAACGTTGCTGTGAATACTTCTACTCCTTTCCCTTGGTGCCTCCAGGATGAGAAAGATATATCCAGGAGTATGATACTACTGTGATGGGTCTAACAGCCCCACTCCCTGTTTGTCATGTGAAATGTATACTTCCGTGTCTATGAAGCCTTCACTCTCTAGATGCCTTATAATATTCCAGGGCCCAACTTCTAAAAATCCAGACCAGTACAGAAACCACTTACTCTTTTTTCCACAGTACTGACTCTGGATGCTTTCTGATTCTAGACATAGACAGGGATGGCCCATCGTGATGGAGGGCATCAGTGCTGTAAGTCAGGAATGTCTGCACTGATACTCTCAGGGAAGTTGTTAGTTTCTGTACTACACATGGTCCTTATGTGGGGATTTATACTTGAAGTTTTCTGAACATCCCTGAAGAGAATAGGACTAAAATTTCTAGTTCACCTGAATTCTGAAAAAAGCCTAGAATTCACTAACACTGGACTTCTTTTCCCAAATGGGAAAGGTGTTGGCAGGGCCAGAGATAACAGAATCGACTCAATTTTGCCATGGTGAGTAGGCATTTGCAGTGCTCCTCTGGGGCAACAGGTCCTGTCTTTGCAGGACAACATGCTATCTCTGCTAAGATTGGAGCTCTTTTCTTTCACACTGGACTGTAAACTGAACTCAGAACCACACACTGTCCAGCCAAGAGCAGGTAGTAGGTTTAATCTCATCCTAACAACTGGACAGGGTTCAGTGATGTCTATGCACCATATACCCAATGCTGTAGGTAATCATCGTTTCCCCATCATTTGAACGACTAAGCAAACGCACTCTGCTTTTTGCTGCTGAGTCTACCAAGGACGAGTTAGGAGCACAAGAGACTCCTCCCCAGGCTCATGAGCCTTGGTGTGCTCCTGCAGACTTCTGCCGGGAACTGCTTTGAGGGCAGAGGCATGCATGTAATATCTGCCCTGGCCTTTTGCCTTCCTGATAACGCTGTAATACCCACCTCAACTCAGACATTATTTGAGTGCAGAGGAAATGATATTGTCTATACCATTTTGTAATGAGGTTGGGGGCGGGGGGGACGAAAGAGTTCATACTCTGATTTTCTAATATCTGTGAAACTGAGTTTTATTTCAAAGCTCTAAGGCAGTCTTTCCATTTGTCACTGAAGTGCTATAACCTGTATGGGTTTAGCAGTATTATCCAAGAACCAAGGCTTTATCCCCAGCAGTGTGTGTGCTGTGCACTGCAAAACTGTAGGGCTGGAACTAGTTTATCTGAACACCTCAGCTGATGAAGTGTCCTCTCTCTCATCCTTTAAACTGACAAGCATGATTTAAAAAAGGAGCACACCAGAGTCTCTGCCTCTTGTAAATGAACTTGACTTTGGCAGGTAGATTCATAGCCATTTCTCTTCCTGCCTCTCCCCTCCTTCTAGGATTTGGGGATCTACCTATGACCTTTCTACCTCAAACACGTCACATGGACCACAGGCTCCTGGATACCCCTTCCAGGGCTGGTAAAAATGGCAGCGATCATAGCTCTGATTCTGTAACATCTTGAGTATCTCTGAGGACATATATACTGTATATACTCAGGGAGGTTTTTTAAATTAGGATTCTGGAGCCAGCAGGTGGCATGGTGGTTAAAGGCACTGGACTCCCGCATGGGTGACCACGGTTCGAGTCCCGGACATGTTGACTTGCTTTCTCTTTCCC